AAACATGAATGTTTCACCAATTCTATTGGCTATTTTATTATTGGACTTTGTGAAGACTGTAGACTTTATTTAAAAACAAATTTTGATTTAAAGACAGGAAACGTATAGTTTGTATAGCTCTGTTCAAAACATGAGGTTTGCTATTATTGTTTGCAGGATTTTTGCCAGAGTTTGTTTTTGCTTTGTTGTCACTGTTTTGTTGGGTTTTGCAGTGCGCTGGACATGTCTGCTTCTTTTCTGTTGCCCCACATGGCACTCGTGTACATGGACTTAAATAGCCAGAGTGGTTCTTCAATGTGGAATAATAGTTCATTTATTCTAAGGGGGTGATTACAATATCACAGATCTGGGTAAGTGATCGAAGCTGAGCAAACGTAGGGTTTGTTCCATAACAGTATTTGAGGTTAGGTTCTGTCTTTACAGCAGCTGCTTATTTGCATAGATGACACCTAAGGTTAATCTACGCTGTGTGCCATATTTCTTAGGGCAAATGATTCTTTTCATTTTTGAGATAGATAAGGTATTACGAAACAAGTATTTCTCTTTACCCTTCATCCAAGGACAAAGCACAGTGCAAGCAATGAAATAGATGGTTAACTGTTGCCTAGCCTCTGACTGGGGAATCCTAGGGAGTGATCAGAAGCTTGGGCAGCTTTGACCCAGGCTACATGTGTGAATTCAGACCCAGTGTTCCTAGACCCCATGACTGAGTGCCGTTGGATGGCCCATGACCTCTAAGGCCTTCAACTTGTGGGCACCACTGAAAATGGCCAGTTTAGCGCTTTGTTTGACAAAGCTAAATTGGTAGTTCTTTTCTAATTCTGAATCCCAGGTGTAGTTAAACTGTTTAGACAAAGCCCAATAAGTGTATGAGATGAAGTATGACTTGGTGGGTGTTGTTAATGCTCCTTTCTCCCTTCTCCCTGAAGGTTCATTTAGGGATGTCCGTGGCCAGATGAGAACTTTCAGAATCTGAGGCAAGATTTATCTTTGAATTTTGGCTAGAAGTAAAATCATTTAGGTCACTTGGACACGTCCACGGTGCTTACCCCCACAAAATTGTCTACCCCTCTGTACAACCTATGCGTGACTGCTGGGCTACTTGGATTTCCCAAAAGCAACAAATCACCCTCTTCCTGAAAGGGGCCGTAGTGTCTAAGTGTGAATAATGCCACTTAATTCCGAGTGCTGGAATTGAGGCCTTCAGTTGTAGCAGCCCTCCCCCATGATTCTGTTTCTCTTTGTTCTGACACCCCCATTTAGTATTTGTCTTAACAGTTATTGTTTCCAGCGTATTTGCTGGGTTTCCACTAAACTGGCCACACCACAGGAGCTCATTGGCTCCATTCCTTATTCATATTTGGAAATATCATTGTACAAAGGAAAAATTGCTAGCCAGAACTATTCTGGGACAATCTGTACACATACACACTCTCTAGAATGCTGTAGGAGCCTTTTCTTTCAAACTCTAGCCCTCATCAGGGCCTCATCTTTTCTTCCCTGGATTGTGGCACTGGCTTCTTGTTTGGCTGCCTTTATGCCCATCATAACCATATGGCTTCCAGATTAATATTTCTTCAGCACAGCCCTGGTCCAGCATTCTACATTTGGCTTCTGAACAATCTACATATTACAGAGTAGATAGAAGGAATGTGGTGATAATAATGATGGTAATAATGGCAGTAACAACAATAATAAACAAATGTTCTTAGATGCCCCATTACAAATATCAAATGTCTTGACACAACAAGGCTTTTGCAATTCAGTATCAGAGGGTTTATCATTGGCATGATGTGATTGGCCCAGAGGCATGGGTCTGAATTGCATGCCTATAGCTTGGCTGATTGAAATATATCTGATCTACATGAGAAGTGAGCAGGTGGGGAGTTGACATTTTGTTAGAAGTGCATGCCGGGTATCTTGATATACAACTGCATGCCCTCACATTGTTGATATCAGAAATAAAACTACTTTGTGAAGAGACTATAGCACAACTCAAAACAGTAGGGAAATCTTAATGCCTCACATCCCGGTCTGGGTTTTGAAATTAAATATGTATACTGAGTAGTGGGTTATCACCTTTGAGCGTTCCCATCTGTTGAGGCAGATTGACCACTTGGTTACCACACCATAAACAGCTTTTTGGAAGAATTTTTAAATTTGTTACTTCTATATGATATGTTAAATTTAAAAAATGAGATACAAAATTGCATATAAACAAGGTTCGCAGTTAAACACCAATACTCGTATTAGTATACATATGCACAGGTATACACACACATACAAATTGTACATGTAAATACAAAGAAAAATTTACCAAGTTCAAGTTCTTATCACTAAGGTTTAATTATGGATATTTCCATTTTCTCTCGTTCTTTCTTTAAGTTTTTAATGTTTATTTATTACTTTTGAGAGAGAGAGGGAGAGAGAGAAAGAGAGCAGGCAAGCAGGGTAGGGGCAGAGAGAAAGGGAAACACAGAATCTGAAGCAGGCCCCAGGCTCTGAGCTGTCGGCACAGAGCCCCACATGGGGCTGGAACTCATGAACTGCAGGATCATGACCTGAGCCAAAGTTGGCTGCTCAACTGACTGAGACACCCAGGCGCCCCTCCATTTTCTTTTTTAATCTTGTTCATATCTTCTGTATTTTCTATGAGTATTACTATCTTAATGAAGAAACTGTCTCTTAACATGAGAGTTTGCCCAGCACTGTCATTCACAGCTCTGAGGAATGTTGAATATGTTATTGAGCCATCATTAAAAAAAAAATCAAGGGCATTGAGGAGGGCACCTGTTGGGACGAGCACAGGGTGTTGTATGGAAACCAATTTGACAATAAATTTCATATTAAAAAAAAATCATGGAGCGACAACAGAATAAATACAAAACTGAACTGTCTGTTTATAACAGTAAAATATCTTCTTGAGTAGTTCTGTTGTGTACCATCTATGAATGGTGCCCCTGGGAAATTGTATGTTTTGCTGCCTTTTTGTTTTGTCTTGCTTTTTAACTGCTGAGGTATTGAGTGAAGAAATCTAGAAATAAAATGACTAGCCCCATAGATTGCACCTTTGATGCCTGAGATCATTGGCGTTTTGTTTTGTTTTGTTTTGTTTTGTTTTTTCATTTGTTTTAAATGCGATTTCCTCCATTCTCACCAAATAATGATATTGTTGAAGCTGCTTATCATGTTCTTTATATTTCTATAATGCCAATCATCCCAGAATCCACAAGGGCTCACACAGGCAGAGACTAAATAAAGAAAATTAAGGAAATGGAGGATAACCTCATACTTGAATATAGTCATTCATTAATGCATTCCTTCCTCAATGATGTTTTGATAGCCTATTGTAGCTTAAGCTTTGTGCTACCATATTCTAAATGAAAGGATGCATAATGAATATTAGAACATGGTTCCTGTTCTTGAGTTTATGTAGTTTAGAACAACAGTTCTCTAACTTGAGAGTGCAACAAGAATTACCTAGGTGATGACATTCATCTGAGATAACAAGGGAGATAGGAAATAGCAGGCCAGGGGAAGATGTTTGAATTCAGCTGCCCGTGGGAAATGTGAAAAAGCATTTTTAGCCAGCACCTTGAAGGTGAAGGAGCTGAGCAACAGAAAAGACAGGAACTTACGTAATGTCATCCAGAGTAGAGAGTAGAGAGAGTAGAGTAGAGAGTAGAGTAGAGAGTAGAGAGTAGAGAGTAGAGTAGAGAGTAGAGAGAGTAGAGTAG